GCCCTATACTCTTAGACCTCTCTTTTAATTCCCAAGCTTTTTAATCCCGAACGTGAAAAGGTAAACTTTTAAATTAATCTTAGAATAGAAAATATTTCATCAGATGGTGATTGATTTTTAAATGCACATTCAAAAAAATGACTTGCGACATGAATATATCAATCAGCACCTTCTGACAATATAAGACCTTCTCGAATTATAAGATTTGAATGTTACAATACCGCCGGTATTAGCATTACGCAAGGTGTCTGACGGCTAAAACCTCTTGAACGTTGTTCAGAATCATGTCCTAAATAACATTTGTCGAGATCAAGATCATTAGAGGTTGTACCTCTTATTTTCAATTTTACACTAAAAATTCATTTTTACGTAAAAATGAAAATAAGAGGAACAACCTCCAATGACCTTGATTTCGACAAATATTATTCAAGACATGATTTTGAACAATATTCAAAAGCCGTCGGTCAGACACCTTGCGTAATGTTAAATGCTAATGCCGGTGGTACTGTGATATTCGAGCCTTATAATTCGAGAAGTACTTAATGAAAAAATATTTTATTATAGTGTTTTGGGAAGTTCTCGAGATAAGCTATAAGAATATGCAATGAAAAATGAGTTCCCATTTAAGAAATTGAAGGTTATCTTCACATTACTTTTAAACAACTATCCAAGGTCAAACCAATGGTACCATCTTATGTCCCCCTCTAAATCATACAACTTTTCTTACTAAAATATTTTTTCCTAAGATCAAAAATAAGAAAGTTATTTGATGGGACTTTAAACTGGGACACCCTGTATGTATATATTACGCAAAAAAATTAAAGGATCACCTAGTCCGTCCTCAGAAATAGGTAAATATTTAAAAGAGTGATACTTCATCAAAAATGATCATAACGAGGTTTTAAAAAAAATATTTTAAAGCTTGAAATATCTACTTTCAAGATCAGTAATTGATATTTTGATCAGATTAATTTTTTTACGAACAGAAATGGATATCCGTCAAATGAAAATTTTGTAGAAACTTTATAAAGGCGTGAAATAAAAATTGCACACAAATGCAGTTTACAGGAGTCGAAAAAGGCTCCTCTTTATCTTTAATTTATTTTTTTATTGAATGTTGTACGATTTTTTTTTCAACGAATTATTCAACATTGAAGCAAAAATGATCCCTTTTACTTTAATGTTAAATAACTCGGTGTAAAAAAAATTTTTATTTTAGTACATTGAGCCCTACATATTGGACGCCAAATTTGCGACCGCACTCACGTGCGTGATGCAACTTCGTCGTGCCTTCGCGGTTATGGTTCTGCATTGTTTTCATTGTTTAATAATTATAATTCTATACTTAAAGTCGACAATATATCAGATAATCTGACAAATTCCAACTCTCAATTCTCAATGCTAATAATTGGGCGCTAGGCATGAATGAACGTGTTACTCTTTCACAGAATTAAAAAGAAGATTCTACTCAAAATATAAAGATCTTTACAGAATCGCAAACGCAAACGGTTCTGATAACCAACTGCTCAGCCACGATAATGGTAGAAAGAGTGGTTTGTTGGGAACGAAGGATGTCTTGGAGAACAAGCAGGGCGATATAGCAATAAAATATGCGGAATTCGTATCAATAAATGATAACACATATATTCTATCATTGGTTTACAATCCGCACCCGCTGATTGACAAATTAACAATCATGCGTTAAAGGGGGCATTATTGCCCCTCCAAATGACGTTCTCGACACGCGATATTAGATATAAGAATTTTCTCTCAACGGTACGAGCTCCAAATCTTAGAATAAACGAGCAGTGGATGTCGTAATTAAGGGAATTAATCGCGAGACAAAGATCACGGAAGTGATCGGCTTTGCTTAACGCGTCGACGAATCCGACCGCGAGGATAACGAGAACTGTTATGATGAAAAGTTGCGAGATTCTGGAACATACGAGAATATTATCTGAAATCTAACACAATCTCCACATTAAGACGCGATATAAAAATATATGACCCAACAATATGATACCAAATGACCTGGCTATGGCCGCGTCGGGCGTGTAAATAGTTGATTCGAAGTTAACGGGATTAATATAATGTCGGGCGGGATGACATGATCACGCGCTGCGTGCTCGCTAAGGCAACGTTACTCACAAAATGCCAGATTCAATGAAACTAAATGATCTAATTGCGGATACGTGCGATCCCTCCGATCTAGAAATCAGCAGCTTTATGTTACATTACGTTCGCCTCACCACGAAATCCTCTTAACTTGGCTTTTACACATGATCTCAATAATGTCGACAGTGGGATGTCCTGTGTCCTCTCGTATGCACGTCCTGCGCCAAAACTCGTCAATCGTCGCAGCACAAGTGCCGGGCCCAACCGAGATCCTTTCGGGGGCATGCTGGCACCGCAGGCACCACGTAATAAATCTTATTGCGCCTGATTGGTTGCGAACCATCTCGCGAGTTCCACAAGCCCTCGCGAATCGCTATAGTATTGCGCGCCCTATATCCTTGCGTGCGGGATATGACTTTTGGCATCCTTTTCGGTTACTAGCAAGAGACTCCTCTCTGTACTATATGGGCGGAGTGCTTCTAGGATTTGATGGACTCCTTTGAACTCCTCCTTCTTCCACTTCCGAGTTGGACGCCCTCTCTCAGTAGAGGTTCTCTTGCGGCTCTACCGACAGTAAGATGTTTCACTCATTCTATGGTTCCACGGAGAGTGGATCCATCCCCTCATGCCGTTCGAGTTCTTCCTTTTTAATAATTACCTGAAAGGAATTCAGCAACAGGATCACAAGTTCATAAACAGAACGTTATTTCGAAAAAGTTAAAGTGGTGTCACCTGCGTGCTACCTCTCCCTGGAGTGACCAGGGAGTCACCTCGTGCTTCCGATGTGTGTCGTCTGTCTTCTTCCTTGTCATCAGTTGAGATGATGAGACGAAGCCTCATATAACAAAATATATCTCGAAACCACCGATAATAAAATCCTAAAGTAAATTTGCAAAAAGAAATAATAACATTCCGCGAAATATAGCAATAGAAATCGCTCGAAAATCGCAATAAGCGCAGACACGCTTACCCTCCGCGTCGGGAAGACACAGGACGAAAATATCGCGCTATTTCGGTCAAGTCGACTGACCCTTATGATGCACGGTGAAAAACACACGTCACAATACACAGGGTGTTTCAGAATAACCGCCAAATATTTTGTGTGCAGATAAAGCGAACTAAACTGAGTTGAAAAGTCCTCTATCATTTTGCAATTTTCGTAATAGTTAACGAGATATTAATTACTAAAAATCGCCGAAAATTAATTTTCAATAACTTTTTACTCGATAGTATTCGAATAAAAAATTATTAAAAATAATTTCAGCGATTTTTAGTTATTAAGGAGATTCTAAAGTGAAGCCCGAATTCTGATGAAGTCATCAAAGGTCGCTGTTTTTCTAGCGCATCTTTATATACTATCACGCCAATATCTCATGCAATCTATGATACACGCAGTCTCACTTTTGTATTAATTTTTGTATAAGAAATTCGTAAAAAGAAAGTGTTTAATTCTAAGAAATTCGTTATTTGTTCGTGCAAACTACTGTCATCATATACAGGGTGCGTCACCAAAATCCGGACAAATCGAACAATTCCTTATCGTGCAGCCTCAGAGAGCCTCTTTAATGTGTACGATTTGTATCGAAGGTCCTCCTCGGCAATTCGACGCATTGTTGGCTCGCTTACACCAACAATCGATGCTAATTTTCGCAACGATTGCCTTGGGTCATCCGAAATCAGCGTTTGAGCCCTTTCAACGACTGCAGGGATCCTCGCGGTGCGTTCTTTCGAATGACTCTTCCTCGCTGGCATACTGGAACCTTCGTTGGACTGTTCTAAAACCGTATATTTTGCCACAACGTCATAAACAGTGGATCTCGGGTATCCAAAGAACCGAATTATTTCCGTTGCTGAGCGCCCGGCGCGAAGGTCTTCGATGATCGCGGCTCTTCGATTATACTCCGCACTTGATTTCAACATCGCGGCCATTTTGAGAATATGACTGTTTACTAGAAGCATCAGGCTTTCTTGAACGCCAATAACAATCTCTGGTGGAGGCACAGTATAGCGGAAAATTTGAATTGAAATTTGTCCAAATACTAATAAATTGAAAAACAATCAATAACATACAAAGTGTAATAGCAATGATTTTTAATTTAGGATATAAAAAGCATTCTAGATGATCGTTTATCTAAAACATACCAAGAAGTTATTTCCGGATTAAATATTTAAATTGTTTGTTACATAGTTAATTCGAGCATTGATATCTTCTGTCTGATAATGTATTGTATATGATCTCAAGGCCATTCTACAATTACGTAAGCGTAGTTGTAAAGTGTAAGCGTGGTTGTAATTGTAAGAATTAACCAATTACAATCAAATGAAGAAAATATTCGACTGTGATTAGTCAGTTCTTTTTCTCTACAAGTTTCTCTACAATTGTAACTTATAATTACGCTTACGCAGTTGTAGAATGGGCTTTATGTGTACAATCAATTATGTATATGTAATGATTTGTTATAATAAAAACATAGAATTAATATACATGTACATATACGTTGGAATTTATATTGATGAATTTTACACAATAATGATGCATTCCTCGCATTAAATAGTCATGGTTTTTGGTCTCTTTTTAGATTTTTTTATTTAAATATTTGTTTAATTAAATTGTTTAATTAAAAGTGTGATAAATATTAATGGAGGCGCATTTACGAAATTTTATGTACCTCATATCTGTGAATTATATTTCTTAAAAGCGTACGTACATAGTGTTTCCAAAAATAGTTTATCCTTATACTACTGATCCTTATGCTACTGATGCTCATTACTGATCTTATTTTGTAATGAAGCGATGACAAATATATCTGTTATTTCTATGCAACATTGACAAAATAGTTGAGCTGCCATGTGCCTAATATTCGTTATTATCTTTCTATTTTCAGCATATTGTTCTGCAAAAGTCTAAAAGAATGGCCGAAGAAGAAAAAGCTGTTCCTTCATCTATGACTCAGTGCTATGAAAATTATATTATAGTTGACGTGGGTGCCAATCTAACGAATAAGAAGTATAGTCGAGATTTGGATAGTGTAATACAAAGAGCGAAGGACGCCGGTGTACAAAAGATTATGGTAACCGGTGCTAGCATTCGTTCTAGTAAAGAGGCGCTGAGACTGACCAGAATATATCCCGGGACACTTTATTCAACCGCCGGCGTGCATCCACACGACGCCAAGTCTTGGGAGGAACCAAATACCTTGCGTGAATTGGAAGGTATAGCCAGTAATCCAGAATGCGTTGCGATCGGAGAATGTGGTTTAGACTACAGCCGTGATTTCTCAGCTCCGGAGGCGCAGCGCACTGTATTTCACAAGCAAATAGAATTAGCCTGTACATTAAATAAGCCACTAGTAATACATGAAAGAGGCGCGCAGAAGGACGTATTAAAAGTTCTTGACCAGTATAAGAATCGTCTGCCGCCTATTTTGATTCACTCCTTTATCGGCACTGCGGAAGAGGCACAGATTTATTTGGATCAAGGCTTTTATCTAGGCATCACGGGCTATCTGTGCAAAGATAAATCCGATAGTGGAGTTAGACAATTGCTGGAAGGAGGGCGAGCACCATTAGATAAGATTCTAGTGGAAACTGACGCGCCATTTATGTATCCAAATACCAGAGCCAGTAAATTACCCGTGCACGTGAAAGATGCTTTAACCGAACGGTCTATGACGTTTCTTCATCGTTACTGCACTTTCCAACGTAACGAACCATGTGCCTTGCCAGCAATCGTGGAAATGGTAGCGGCGTTTATGCGAATCACGCCAGAACAAGTCGCGCTGGCTACCGCTTTCAACGCTTTAAAATTATTTGGTTTAAATCAATGATAACAATACTTACAATTTCAGAGTTTAAGTTTAAGTTGTGCATAAGATGCTATATGACAATGGAATTAGATTTTAAAATAATAAGTATAAAGCTTTATCTGGAACCATAATACGTAGGCTGCTGGAAAAGTTTCTGCAATCTAATACTTCTAATGGCGCCAACATTCTGCTACTATCATATCTATAAAATTAGACGTTTTTAACCTATAATTCAGTTGACAGTTTGTATCCAAACTAGTTTTGTTTGTATAGTATTTTAAAAGAAGTTATTTTATGAGAAAATGGAAATTTCGCGTGAAAATTTTCGGGCAATGATTTTTTACGATTACAAATGTAATCTAATTTCGAAACAATGCATCGATCGATTTCATTTGGCTTTTGGGGATGAAGCACCATCCCAATCAATAGGACTGTTTATAATTGATTTGCCGAGTTCCAGCGTGGACGTACCTTTCTTTGTGACGAATTCCGTGAAGGTCTGTCCATCCATGTCTGTTGTTGCCACTAATGTTGATGCTGTGCGTGAAATGATTGAGCGAGACTGGCATATGACATACCGCGAGATTCAGGCATCCTTAGGCATTGATATGAAAGCAATACATACGATTTTGCATGATCACTTGAGCGTACGGAAACTTTGCAGTCGTTAGATCTCACACAATTTGACCGAAGCTCAAAAATAGGCTCATGTTAAATGGAGCAAAGAAATGTTCAAGAAATTCAACCGAGGTTGATCAAATTTGGTCTACAATATCGTTACTGGGGACGAAATATGGATCTATTCGTATGAGTAAAGTAAACAATCCACTTTGAGTATTTCAAAATGAACCGAAACCAACAAAAGTTGTTCGATCACGCAGTGCTGCCAAGCAAATGATTGCTTGTTTCTTCAATTATACTCGACATGTGGCTTTAGAGGATCGAAAGACTGTAAATACTGATTGGTATACAACACTTTGTTTGCCAGAAGTCATAAATGAATTGCGTAGAACAATCCGAAATCGTCGCATCATCCTTCATGGCAACGCCAGCTGTCACACAGCACGTCAAACCGTTGATTTTTTATCCAGTAAAAATGTCAAATTGATGACTCATTGTCCGTATTCATCTGATTTATCACCTAATGACTTCTTTTTGTTCCCAAACATTAAAAAGAAGATGCGTAGTGAGCGATTTGAGTCGCCTGAAGCAGTTGTTGAAACATTTCGTACACTGATTTCTGAGGTTACAGCCTCAGAGTGGAAAAAATGCTTCGAAAATTGGTTCGAGCGTATGCAAAAATGTATCGACCTTAAAGGCGAATACTTCGAAAAACAATAAAGCCGAAATTTACATGATATATTTACATATTTACCAAATTTTACATATTTTTTTTCATATTGTTTGCAGAAACTTTTCCAAACAACCTACGTATATGTGTATTTTTTTAGATGCGAATTTAAAGTTTTTTTTTACGTGTCAAATCAAATTGAATATTATTCCTTTTTTTAAATCCGAATCAAATCGAATTGAAATTTTATCCAAATCGAACTGAATTAAGTCAAATCGAATCATTGAAACATAACTTTTAACAATATAATTATTATTAACAATATAATTATTATGTATTGTAATATATAGATAAATGATTTTGATGTAAAAATATTGATGCAAATTCACTATAAGATCTAATGGTGCATTATGTGCCAATATATAAAAAAAAAATATATCTTTAATAAATCTTAAGCTATACAGTTTAATTAGAATTTGTTTTAAAAAAATTGTTTATTGTACAAGGTGTTCTATTTTAATCAATCCTGTCAACATTCTCCAAAAATTTTAGAGAAAATTGATCAATAATTTTGGATCAAAATTATTGATACAAAAAAAATATTTTAGGTGAAAGTGGAATTGGTTTTGAGGAGCGGGCATGTATTTTAGTCAGCATTTATTTTAGTTTTACATATATTTTAATTTTTTTCTAAACGAAAAGATCAAAGAGATATAAAGGTTACCTACATTTTTTTTAATGGAATTGTATAATTTCTAAAAAATTTCTATATAATGGTTTTCGAAACAAATCAAAATTAATTATTTCAGGAGCATAAAAGTCAAATACAGGTTGTTCAACGTAATTTATATATATATATGTACGATCTACAATTTGATGAGCGATGTGATTCTACTTTTTGATTCAATGTATATGACGATTTTACTTTATGTAAGTTTTCAAATTATTATTGTATAAGTGAATATTTTTGATAATTATTTGACTATTCATTATATATAATAGCTAATTTGGCATTCGGATAAAGAAAAACGAATTAAATTGTCAGGAATCACCATCTTGGAATTTACGTTACTTATGTAATTTATATTTTATATTGATAAGGAAATTGAAGAGTCCCAAATCGAAACGTTTATTTGATTCATTTTGTTACATTCACACAAGAATAAAGAGTTTTCTGTGCATCCGAACAGATGCTGATGTAGACTTTGATGGGCTTTTTTTACTGATTATTGCAACTAATCATGTCTCTTGATTAGACATGATTAGTTGCAATAAATTTTGAAGTATTGTACAGAAATTGACAATCTTATTCTCGCAGAATTTGGAACTTGTGCGAAACATTAAATTGTCATATTCGAGCTATTCATGGAATGTTGAAGACATTTAATACAAAATAAGAATTTTAATTTATTAGGTGTACAAATAAGTTTCCGCCGTTTTTTATCAAAAATTAAGCATTTATTGTGAAAAAAACGATACGTAATGTTTTATTGAAAGTATTGCCCATCGCTAGCCACTACTTTTTCCCATCTTTCTGGTAGCATACGGATACCGCGTTGGAAGAACGCTTCATCTTTTGAGGCTATCCAATTATCGATCCAATTTTTAATATCTTCATATGATGTGAAGTGCTGCTCAGACAGGCCATGCGCCATCGATCGAAATAGATGGTAATCGAAAGGGGCAATGTCTGGTGAATACGGCGGGTAGGGTAGAACTTCCCAATTGAGTGTTTCCATGAGTGGTTTTGACCGGCGCCACAACATGTGGTCGAGCATTATCATGCAGGAGAATAATTTTGTCATGCCTGGAGTAGTAGTGGGCGCGTTTTTCCTTGAGTGCTCGGCTCAATCTCATCAATTGTGTTCGGTAGAGAGTAACCTAGTAACGGTTTCGTTCGATTTGAGCAACTCATAATACACGATATCAAGCTGATCCCACCAAATACACAACATAAGTTTTTTTCCATGAATATTCAGCTTGGCTGTCGATGTTGAAGCATGGCCAGGTGATCCCCATTTCCTCTTCTTTAGGTTATCGTAGTGGATCCATTTTTCATCACCAGTGATATACTATACGATGTAAAAAACCCTTTCGTTTATGCCTGATAAGCAGCATTTCACATATGGAAAATCGGCGTTCAACGTTTTTCGACTTCAGTTCATATGGAACCCAATTTCCTTGCTTTTGAATCATTCCCAATGATTTCAAACGATGTGAAATTGCTTGTTGAGTCGCTCCTAATGTAAGTGCAAGTTCTTTTTGCGTTTGGCACGAATCTTCATTCAATAATGCTTCCAATTCCGCGTCTTCGTACACTTTCGGCCTTTCGCTACGTTCTTTGTCTTCGATGTCAAATTCACCATTCTTAAATTTTTGAAACCATTCATGACAACTTCTCTCACTTAAGGCAGCCTCACCATATGCTTCTACAAGCAATCGATGAGCCTCAGCTGCAGATTTCTTCAAATTAAAGAAGTAAATCAAAAGTTCCCGCAAATGACGCTTATTCGGTTCAAAACTCGGTATTTTCGCACAAAAAAAATATATGATGCTGATACAAAATCGCTAGTATTTTAAGGTTATGTTGTTGATAGATGTCCAACCTTACGATATAATGTTTTACATCGGACAATTTTAACCATAGCTTGCTAGTGGCGCCGTCTTTTGTCAAACGGCGGAAACTTATTTGTACACCTAATATATTTTGTTTGGATACAGAGGATGACCTAATTTAAGGTCGAAACGTTTATCGTCTATCATAACAATAATTAACAACCTATTACTAATGTATTACTAACCTATTACTAATAACCTGCGTTTTTATTAAAATAATTAATTTTAATTTGTACAATATAATTTTTTTTACATGATATATATATCTCAGGAAAATTAAATTTTTTTTGCGTTTTGGAGGTAAAATTGTTACAAAAGATTTATTTGCGGGAAGTTGTTTGAAATGACGTATTTGTGGCCTAATTTGTATGGGAAAATGAAAACACACAGCAGATATCGATGTTTATTCGTTCTCTTTATTTCGCCATCTTCTTGTTCGATATATTTATCTCTCCTTCCTCGAGTGCATCGCGATGGCGTCGGAATTACGCTAATTGATAATCGATAGGGATTGACGGGCTTAAGTAGGCGCGCTACAATTCGGCCATGCTGACGAGGATTTAGTCCCGCAAACCAAAATTATGTAATCGGCTCAGTGAGCTCGCTAGCTGAGCTGTACATCAGGTATGAGATTAAGAAAACGTCTGAGTGTTATAACATGTGATGAATCTAATGACACCAATGAATTAATATATATTAGTATAAAATTTGGATTAGATTGCGAAGCTAAAAACTAGGTTATATATAAATGAGTTACTATGTAAGCTACAAAGGAACTCTATAATTTGGAAGATGTTTGATCTGCAAAGCTTGTCCAGGATCGCAAATTACTCACCTCCCAAATACCTACGTACCACCTACGTACGGTTTCTGCGAGTTTTGAAATCCAGCGGGATCCGAAATTATCGGTTATTACGGAGTATCTTGGATATTTCGTAAGATCCGCGAAATTATAGGATCAGTTTCTTACTAATATCAGGTGTGCTTTCGAAGTTTCTAATTATTATGAGGTCACCAAGATTGTACTGCTTGGGCGCCTTGCGCTTGGAATCGTAGACTGACTTCTGCTTTTGTTGAGATTGCTGAGTATGTTGTTTGGCTTGCTCACGCAATTGTCAGATTCAGAAGCAGTGTGTTTAGTATATCCCTTACGAATTACTTCTCTAAGTGGTCGGTGTGGCAACCACGCTGGTCGATTTCAAACGCTAATTGGCTTGGAGTTTTTCCTGTGAATCTATTCACAGTGTTGTTGATGGCGTGTTCAATTGTAGGGAGTGTCTTATATCAGTGCTGACCGGCATCGGCCGTCAGCATGTCGTCAATTAATGAGAGGCATGGAATAAGAACTCAGTTTATCCATTTGGTTTGACTATTCGCCTGCGGAGATCCAACTGCAATCTTCACATGACGAACGCTATGTTCACGTAGGAAATGTTCGAAGTCCCGCAACGCTGTGCCTCTATCGGAAATGATGATAGACGGCTTGTTATAACTTTGAAAATACTCGGTTAAACAAGAGATAGCTTCCTTAGAATTCGTGATTTTCGTAGCAAATAGCCGAACGAATTTAAAAAATTTATCGACTAGGAAAATATATTTCTTTGCTTACTGACTGACCCGAAATGATCAATGTGAAGAGTGTCAAATGGAAGTTCCCCCTTGGGGATGCAGCCTTTCCTTTTTCCGGAAGTAGGAGAGAATAAGATGCACTTCAAGCAGTTCTTTACATGTTCCTCGCATTTTTCCCGTATTCGAGGAAACCAATGCGTCGGATAGCCTCAATCATTTTGCCACGTGTCCCATCTCATTGTATAACGAAACAATACGTGATCTTCCATTGATTTCGGTATTACGAACAAGGTATTGCCGCCATGCTTCTTGTAAATCAGTCCATTTCTTAACTCATAATGAGGATCCTCTGTTGACTCTAGTTTTAAAGCAAGTTCCTGAATTTTTGGATCCCTCGACTGCATTATTGACAGGTTTCATTCGAAAGGGTTGTCCTCGATGATCAACACCCCAAAATCTTTTCAGAGCATCTATGTGAGCCATCTGGATCCAGGATGTATTACTTTAAAGTCGTAGTCTTGTAGCTCGAGATTCCATCTGGCTATCCGAGCATTTAAATCACGTTTCTCTAATGTCTGGGTGATTGCGTTACAGTCAGAAATTACAACAAATGGGACATCCTGTAGGTATATTCGAAATACGCAACGCGTAAATGATTGCCAAGGTCGCGAGCTCAAAATGTGATATTTGGATTCGATCGCTGTGATACGTCGGCTGAAATAGAAGACCGGGTGCATTTTATTATTTGCTTGCCGTTGCAGCAGAATTGCTCCAAATTCTTGCGCGCTCACGTCGCAATGCAATTATAGTATAGGATTTTGGATCGTATAGTTGAAGACTTAGTTAGTCTGGCTTTGAGCTCCTCGAAAACGTGTCTCTCGAAATCTTCAAATTTGAATGTAGTGTTTTGCTTTAGTAAATTATGTAGTGGTTATGTAATCGTAGAGAATCCTTGAATAAACTTACGGAAATATGACGCTAATCCTACAAATGACTTCTTTCGTTGTTTTCGGTATTGGAAAGTTTGAGACGGCCATAATGCCTCTATCCTTCATTACTCGATATCCTAGATATTCGATTTCGATAGAGAAAAGAACATTTTCCGATTCTAATTTGTTTTCCACCATAGCTCTGTTTTAAAGCTTTTAAATGTTCGTTGATTGTTTCAGTGGCAATTAATATGTCATCCATATACAACAACGGTCTTGGCTTTGATCAGGTCTGCAAAAATTTCATTAATAAAACGTTGAAATAATTTGAGGTCCGATTTTGAGACCAAATGGCATACGCAAAAATTCAAATTGCTTCGTTGGGGTCATAAATGACGTATTTCATTGAACTCGGCAATATCGCAATGTGATAAAATTCATCCTTCAAGTTTAGTTTGCTGAAGAAGTACTTACCTCTTAAACTGTTTAATTGGTCTTCAATCAGCGGGAGCGGATAATTATTATCGCGTGCTAGATTTTATTAAGAATTCGAAAATCGACGCACATTCTGATCTCTTCATTTTTTTTCTCTTGGGATGATCGGCGATGCATACTCAGACGTGCTTCCCCTAATTCCTTTCTCTAATAATCTGTCGAGTATTACCTGAACCTTTTCTTTCTCAACGAATCCCAGCCTTCTGAGCCCAAATTACACAAACCTGTTTTCTTTTAAAACTAGAGAGGCTTCCATTTGAACCTTCGATAACTCGGGCCCGCTGGCCTCACTATAATGCTCACGAAAGATGTTCTCTACTGCGCATTTGTATCTGTTAAGAATAAAGAAATTAATATCAAAATCATTAGGTATTATACTTTGATTATGATCTGTATTGAGAAGTCCGCTAACTACCTTATCAAAACCGAGATTTTTAGTCAATTTATATTCGAAAAGTTTCAATGCATCGGTCTAGTAAGAATAGAGCATCGTGGAATTGGGGACAACCCCCATGGTAATCACCTTGATCGTATCGTCAATAATTTTTATATCTATCAATCCTTTAACAATGAGCTTTGAATTATTGATTCTCCGAACTCTGTTCCACTCATGCCCTGGGACACGCATATCTCTATCTCGAAAAAGTTGTTCTTTAATAAGAGTAATTGGGCATCCAGTGTCTATCTTGGCTACACAAAAATTATCGACCTCATTTTGACTCTGGAGATTTACTATTCGTTGAAACTCGTCGCGGAGCTTGCTTTACGTGTCGATAAAATAGATCCCCTCGTCCTCAGTTCCTGTTCCAACCGATGATGCGCTGTCTCCGTCTACAAGTTGGATCTCGTCTTCTTCCGCCTGCTCGGTGTCCTCAAATCTCATTTCAGCTCGGCCATGCGACTATTATCTATCAATTCCACCTGCCGGTTTGTTTTTGCGTCCTTGCTGCTATCGAATCCTCCTTTTCTACCAGGACAGTCCTTGGCATAGTGACCCGTCACAATTGTAGCATTTGATGATACCTCAGCTGACCGGTTTAACTCTATTAAATTCCTTTGGATCCTTCTGCGCCGCTTCTGGATTCACTTCTCTGTACTTGTTTGATTTAATACTGCTATACTCGCGGCGAGATGTGGTCGCGTCTGCTGTGTTTAATGTTATCTTGCGAAAAGCTGTCAGTAATACCGAGGAGGAGTGCATCTTCGCTTAATTTCTTAGGATTACCAATAGTATTCCACTACATAATCTACTAGTTCGTCATTGGCAACACGATTTCCAAGAATGAGCTTATTGTGGCAGTAATCACTAAATGTCTCATCCTTTCTTCATTATTTAGCTTCAAACTGACGCCTCCTTTCTAGTCGACTGATTGACTGCTTGAACATGATGTCCATCTTGTCTAGCAGCGTATCCACCGGCAAAATTAAATTATCGACCAGCGAGTAGTATCACTATTGCGGTTTCCCACGTAACTTGGAACTAATTAAAATTTTGATAGCATTCTCATCAAAATCGATTTCCTTGTCAAGTTAATTTGAGCTTCCCAGCGCTCGAAGTCCTCGCTCGATCCAGTGTACTCACTGTAGCTCACCTATACTTTTGATATTCATTGTGGCTCTTAACATTATCGATGTGCTAGCCACGGAGGTCGTAGCAACTGATTTTCTCTGCGTAATAAGTCTATTTCTTCTGCATCAGCTCTCTTTCGCGCTTGAAGAGTCGTTTACCAACGAGCAAGAGAGCCCGCCGATTCTTGCCCGATTTGCTCGCATTCTTGTGCCGCTCTCCTGAGCTTCCTCAGTGTCGTCGTTTGCCCCTGTCTGCAGGGCGGCCTCTAATCAACCTTCTGGTCGGGTCAGCTTCCTGCATTCTCGCTATTAATTCGACTTTTCTTCCATAGTGGCTTCCCATAGGCAACAAATATCCTGCCGTTCCGATCGTCTATGGTGCAGACGTGTCAAAAAATTATGAAACGATGAAAATTATACTTCAATTAATAAATTATGATTTGCACGGCTGAATAATTTACTGCAATCTCAAAGTAGTTGTCCTCCTTACTGGTCTAAAAAAAGGATACTCATATTTATTCTATTATATAATGTGTTCTTTGTTTTTTGTTTCTTGCTTTTTACCTTTTGCTTTTTTTCTCCTTTGCAACCGTTTTACCATTATATTTCTTGCTACGTATTTCTTGTTTCTTTCGAAGTTCGTTAACTTTTATCTCGGGCGACATAAAACAAAAAACCGGATAAAAAGCAAGAAGACAAGATGTAAAAAATAGTAAAAAGCAAGAAACAGGAAACAAAAAGCACATTGTAGAATAAGCTTAAAAGTATTGGTGCTTTTTGTGTCTTTGGGAAGGACACTGAAAGGAACTGTATTATACGGACTACAAATAGCAACCTCGCATTATTTACCAATTAGGTCGCGATAGTGTTGATCACATGTCATTCCTGGTGAAACAGTGGAAATGGAAACAAAAATGGGACTTTCATTTACTTCTGACCTACTTCAAATTTTTATCTCAAACAATCGAATGTAAATGGAAGCAAATGATTACTTTCTTCTACTTCCGACGAAAGGGATATGATCTTTTTCTAACTACTTCCAATTCATGGAAGTCAATATTTTCCCGTTACTTCCAATCTACTTCAAGTTTTTGTTTCGGAAAATCGGATGTAGACAGAAGTAAAGTGTTACTTCCTTCTACTTCCGATGAAAGAGATGTGATTTTTTTCCGACTACTTCAAATTCATCGAAGTCAATGTTTTTCTATTTCTTTCGCTAACATGTAATTCATTTTAGTTCATTGGGCACCTGCATTCCAATTTACTTCTGCCAACATATACTTCCGAATACTTCCATCTATTCGGTATACTTGCATTTCTGTCCATTTTCGACCTACTTTCGTAATAATTTATTTCCGTTTACATCGATTCATTCGGAACCTGCACTACTTTCATCCACTTTCTATCTACTTCCACTAACATCTTCTTCCGAATATTTTAATTTATTTGGAACTTATCTACACCATTTCTTTTTATTTCTTTTTAATCAACTTTTGCTATCAATAACTTCGATATAAGTTACCAGGTATATGCATAAGTTTTTTCCGGTTTAACTAAGAGATGGCGCCAGCGAAAAGTACGCAGCGTATTAATTTGACACATACACCATTTTGTTCGTCTGACATTTAACTACAAACACACACAAGTTGAGTCCGCCAAAAACTAGCGTCTTTGTTTTATCGTTCAGTGATTATGTCGAGTTTTGTGCCTGAAAAAGAATGATTTGCGGCACGCATTGCTTTTTTTATTTAATCAAAAGAAAAAGGCTGTTGAAAGTCATCGTTTGCTGGTAGAAACATATGGTAAACACGCTCCATCGATTAGAACATGTGAAACATGGTTTCGACAATTTAAAAATGGTGATTTCAATGTGAAAGACAGTGAGCGTTCTGGTAGACCACAAAAATGCGAAGACGAGCAATTGCAGGAGTTATTGGATGAAGACCCAACTCAAACTCAACGGCAATTAGCAGAAGCATTACATGTACGAGGGGTATCCAGAAAATAAATTCCGTTTTTTTTTTACAAATAAAGTTTTTATTGAAAAAATCTAAAATTTACATGGATAATACTTGATAACTTCTAGTCTTTTTCTACATAATTCCCGTCAATCTCAATACATTTTGTATATCTGGAAACAATGAATGTGTATTATGAACTCTTGAAGCCCGGCGAAACCGTTAATACACAACGCTATCGCCAACAAATGATTAATTTAAACCACGCATTAATCGAAAGACGACCGGAATGGGTCAGAAGACATGGCAAAGTGATTTTGTTACACGACAATGCGCCGTCTCACACAGCAAAACCAGTGAAAGACACCTTGAAATCGCTTGGATGGGACATCCTTCCGCACCCGCCGCACTCCCCAGACCTGGCGCCATCTGACTATCATCTCTTCGCATCAATGGGGCACGCGCTCGCAGCACTTCGGCAATTTCGAGGAAAATGACTCGACGAATGGTTTGCCGCAAAAGACAAGCAGTTTTTCTGGCATGGTATTCATAAATTACCTGAAAGATGGGCGAAATGTGTAGAAGCCGATGGCCAATATTTTGAATAAAAAAAAATTAATTTCCCTTGAAAATTACGTGTTTTTTTTTTACCAAAAAACCGGAAAAAACTTATGCATACACCTCATAGTCATATATAGGATTCTGAACTGTTTCCTTTCTTTTAGAATTTCCATTTTAACATTAATGAATTGTAAATTTAATAATGTAAAAGTAAAAAACTGTGTTTCTTTTAATTTTACATCGTTGAATTTACAGTTTAGCTATTTCTTTTCAAACCTAGGTAAGTGCCTATAATTTTATTTATAAGTTCTGGAAAGAAATGTGTTGCAAAATTAAAAATAGCTAATTATTTGCTTTTACATCTTTATTTACAAATATAAATACACAAATCTGTCGTTGAAAAATAAATAAAAAGGAAAGAAGCTACTTCAGTTTATTTTCTAACAGAATTGGAATCTATAGGATAACTCCGGTATATACGCTGCATCTATCAAAAACTTAATTTATAATATTAAGTATTATTTAATATGTTTAAAGTAAACGAACTATATCAGTAAAAACTTTGTACTGTCTACTACTATGAAAAAAATATTAGAAATTCGAAATACTTATTTTTCATATTAAAAAATAAACTTTTGAAATCCTTGCATTTTTGCCGTATATCCCATAGGAATAAGATATATGGCTACTCATAGTGGAAGGGGGAGGGGAGGTATATACGACTCATGAAAAATTTATAAATAATGCATATAAATAAGACATAAAATAACATAATAACTTATAAAATATGTTTATAAAGTTTTATTAAGGAATAGGAATGGTAAATATATATATGAAATAATAAATAATAATTACAATCTTTCTATATATTAGGTGTACAAATAAGTTTCCGCCGTTTGACAAAAGACGGCGTCACTAGCAAGCTATGGTTAAAATTGTCTGATGTAAAACATTATATCGTAAGGTTGGACATCTGTCAACAACATAACCTTGAAATACTAGCGATTTTGTATCAGCATCATATATTTTTTTTGTGCGAAAATACCGAGTTTTGAACCGAATAAGCGTCATTTGCGGGCTTTTGATTTACTTCTTTAATTTGAAGAAATCTGCAGCTGAGGCTCGATTGCTTGTAGAAGCATATGGTGAGGCTGCCTTAAGTGAGAGAAGTTGTCATGAATGGTTTCAAAAATTTAAGAACGGTGAATTTGACGTCGAAGACAAAGAACGTAGCGAAAGGCCGAAAGTGTACGAAGACGCGGAATTGGAAGTATTATTGAATAAAGATTCGTGCCAAATGCAAAAAGAACATGCACTTACATTTTGACTTACATCAATAAAACATTATGTATCGTTCTTTCATAATAAATGCTTAATTTTTTATAAAAAACGGCGGAAACTTATTTGTACATAATATATTACAAATATTATGATATGAAGTACATATTTCATATAATGCGTTTATTGCATTTAGTGCACTAAATTCAATCTGCACACTTTGTATGTTTTGGACATAAATCCCGCTCACTAAAAATGTCGCATATTCCAAACAAGTGGGATATACAAGACAACAAATTAAACAAAGAACACGAAAGCAAAGCACTTGTATTTTGCTATACAACATGCTTTACTATTCCACTATACGTATGTATCACGAAATAATCGTTAAGTCTTTTACACTCCCTACAGTATCATTTTATGTAGACTTCAATTTATGATGGCGTTACTTATTATAGTGATAAATCGATTCAACTCACAATAATTTCATTAATATTAACAAACATTAAGAAACTGAAATCATAATACAATATTAATATAACATAAAGGCATGTAACAGAATAGTTGCGGGAAAATTACCACCACTCCTATTTTTTCTGACTTTTGCGGCATAAATCCCAGCGTATTTGCTGAAATTACCCTACTAATGTATTTCCCATGTTTCCTACTACTTTCACTGATCAGGAAATGATCATAGAATATTTTCATTTTCTTCATTATCCTTAGTACTTTCGTTCTTATTTCCACTGAATTCATTATCTTCTGTTTTTTTCGTTCTGTATGATAACATCAGAATCATTTATTTTCCGCTTTAATGTAATCCTGATCGCTATCTTTGATATTTTCCTTCTTATTTTCATTATCTCTATTACTTCTTGTATTTTCTTTGTCGTCATTACTCTGTATTCTCAATATCCTGTTTTCTTGCTGTACTGAATATTTTTATGTCTAACTCATTTATATCATCAGAATGGCCCACTGCCATTTTTATTTTCAATTGTGTAAAAAATTATTTCTTTATTATATCATACGCGAATATTATGTAATAACAATTAATGATTTTTCGAAACATTCTTTACCTATTTTTGAAGCCTTTTTATTTTTTCTGTTCCAATCATCAATTTTGTGACTCAAGTAGGTATCTACGGAATTACATTGGAGGTCTATTACCGCATCGTCGTATTTTTTATTTATCATTCAATCGCATAGGATCAATGAAAAATAATTTAATTTTTAATCATTATTATTATTATTATCGACATAATATTTTATGCATGTATTTTTTTCCAAATTGAACTCCTTTGATTGAACTGATTCGAAACTTTACAGGTAGTATTATTACAATATATAGTGATTATTAATAAAGATCTTATAATATATTATTTACTTTGATATATATACTATTATGGTTATAACGATACTAGGTGTGTATCGTTCCGAGTATAAGTACCAGCCGGACATCGCTGCGACAATTGACGAGGGCGTGATGCGTCCGGATTGTATGCAAAATACCGCATGAAACTCATGGGTGACAGCCGCTCCGCCGGATATATCCGAGCATGTTCGAATTCCACCGAATGCCGTTTTTTCTGCTCGTATTGTTAACCGGCGGGAATCGTTGAACGATTCCGGAACAATACAAGTAGGAACAACAATTAGTATAAAAGCCACGTAATATTTTATTCGCTCTCTTTTCTTTTCCGTACCGATCCTACTCCGCTATCTTCCA